TGCCCAGGTCATCCACCACATTTTATTCCTAGTAGAAAAACCTCTCTATATAACTTTATTTCCAATGATAAAATGTATTTTTAAATTACATATTCATATAGCCCTTGCTATGTGTAAAAAACTTTTAGGTACTTTTGCATATGGGTATTAAGGCATATAATCCTCACATATCTTTATAATATTATTACTCCATCTTACAGATATAGAAACTGAGAAACAAAATGGTTAGTCGCATGATCAGATAGGTGACAGAACTGGGATCTGAACCCTGAGAGGTTACATAGATGCTTTGGGACATTTATGTATTAAAATATGTAGACATCAACTCACCCATTTATTTCTGTTTCTTCCTCTCATCTATATTATTTATATATCTTGGCTAGCATGTTTTGAGCACCTAATGTTTTCTACCAAGGTTCTGAGACACTGGGGAGCAACCTTTGCTGTCTGCCTTGATGCTCCCTAGCTGTGGGATTTTGGGCATGCGCTTATGTCTCTTTCTATGTGTGTCTCTCTCCCTCCTCTCTCTCTCTCAGCAGTGCTGGGGATCAAATCCAGGGCTTTGTTTATGCTAGGACAGCACTCTACCATTGAGCTACACACCCAGCCCTATGGCAACTCTCTCTTGTAGTTGTGTCATCCTAAAATAGGAATAAGAATATATTTACCAAGTTGTTGTGAATGTGAAATGAGTTAATATGAAAGGAACTTTTTACAGTTTCACATGCTAGTACTATATAAGCATTAGCTTTTCTTGTCATGTTTGCTCAATGCAAGACAGCCCACAATGAGAAAGACTAGGGGCTGGGATATAGCTCAGTGGTTAAATGCTTGCCTAGAATGTATAAGGCCCTAGGTTCAATCCCCAGCATGGAGTTGGAGGCACTGAGAGGAAGAAGGGCTGGAAGAAAATAAAAATAGGAGGACTTTTATCCTAGTTGCTGGGATGAGGAGGAGGATATGAAGATGATGTTTAGTTTCTCTTCCAAAGAATGGTACTGGCTATATGTTTTGTCTATATCTTTAGTTGTGGGTTTAGGAAACTGCCTAGAAGAAAGGTCCATTCCTCATCTTAGTTGTTTTTCTAACGTGCTTCCCTTTGGTAAGACCCTCAAAACTCCCTTAGGTGTTAGGTTTGAGGACTTCTTATTTGGCAGGCTATGGATAGAACAGCTAGAAAACAGAAGTTGACAAAATATGTGGGGATGGCACACTTCTCACATAAGTGTCACTCTGTGTGTGTGTGTGTGTGTGTGTGTGTGTGTGTCCATCCTTCAAAGAGAAGACTTAAGATACTCTGGTAGTATGGTTACCCCACTAGATCCTGGGGCACCTGGAGTTGGAGGCATGGAGAGAAAGGAAGGCTGGAAAGTGTTTGTGCCTGATACTCAGACTTGGTCAGTGGTTGGTTCGGTTTCAGAATCTCCGTCTTATGTGTGTGTGTGAGTGTGTGTGAGTGTGTGTGTGTGTATGTGTGTGTGTGTGTGTGTGTGTGTGTGAGAGAGAGAGAGAGAGAGAGAGAGAGAGAGAGAGAGAGAGAGAGTAGATCAATCTCCAATTGATAATTATGCACATTACTAGGGACAAACTGTGGGGAAATGCACAGGCTGTAATATGTAGTTCCACTATTGTGGAGGAAGAGGGTCGAAAGAGACCTGGCTAGGAGTTCAACCTTAAGTGTGGGCAGCTGGAAAGCTGACTCCCTTCTCCCCAGCTGTTTACCTTGAGGTGAGGCTCTGGAGCTCTGTTCTGGATCTTACTACAGTCATCCCTCTGTATCCATGGGGAATTGGTTCCAGGACCACTCACTTATACCAAAATTGTCAGATGCTTAAGTCCTCTATATGAAATGGCATAGCATTTGCATATAACTTAAGTATATATTTCCAGATAATTTAAATAATCTCTACATTGCTGTTAATACCTAATACATTATAAATGGTAGGCAAATAATTGTTGTACTATATTATTTAGGGATTAAAGACCAGAAAAAATCTGTACATATTCAGCACCAATGCATTTCCCTCCTGAATATTAGATCTGTGATGGGTTGAATCCATGGAAGAGGAACTTGTGGTTATTGAGGGCCAATTGTATTCGGTGATGGGCTGGTACAGTAGCAAAGAAAATAAAAAGACACACGTGAGACAGCCTGCGTCCTCTTCCATTTTCACCATGGTCTTGGAGCTTTTCTAAGAAGTTAAGAGGAGAAAAAAAAAAGACAAGCTCACAAGTTCTGCTGGCCTTTGTGCTTGTCTCTCTGCTTGGCCCAGGCCCTGCTTTCATTGTCTGACTTGGGTGATAGGTTCATAATGGCCCCATGGAAGACGTGGTTGTGGACAATGGAGAATCTCACAGTAGGGATATCCAGAAAGACCACATGAGAATCTTGGAAGAGTAAGAAACTGAACTTGGAGAATTCCAGAAGGCCACAGGGTGGATAGGTGTTTGTTCCAAGTCATTTGGTGTATATGGATTCTGATATTATCCATTGAATGTCTACAATTCACTATTGTTCATGAATAAATTCATTAAGACAGTAATGAATAAATTCATTGACAGTAGAATAAATCAGACATTTTCCTATGTTCATATATGAATACACAACCAGTGTAATTCCACATCATGTACAGCCATAGAAATGTGAAGTTATACAGTCTACTGTCATATATAACTAAAAAGAATAAAAAGTTAAAAAAAATAAACTCAATTATTCATTCACATAATCACAAAACATCCAGCTACCAGAGCAGCCAGAAACTTCTCTGAATACTGATGGCCCAAATGGTTGCTATTTTGAAACTAAACTCCTGAGTGGTTAGCAGGAGAGATTTGTACCAATAGGGGGTAGATCTCAGGGCTGTCCAAGAACTTGGCACTCCACTAGTTGGGGAGAACCCCTGTCTTCCTACAGTGAGATCCCAAGGCCAGTCCAGTCTGGGCACAGGGAGGGAAGCAGTGCCAGCAGTGGCCAGTGGTGGTGCCCTCAGGCACTTAAATCAATGTGCCCTGCTGGGTGGGAAGGCTGTTTTTCTCAGGGGTCTGTGATCTGGGGGAAGAAACTGCAAAGCTTTCATCATGACCTTGCCAGATTTGCAGGCCTCTTCTCTGCTTCCAAAGGTGCTCAGAGCCCTCCTAACTTGCCCTTCACCTCCCATTCCTAAAATTATATATATTTTGGGGGTCCTGCAGTGTCCTCTAGTTTTCCCCACTTTCTTTCCACTCCCTGACCAAAAGTCACAAAGTACCTTGAACGTTCTGTGACCCAGTCAGCAGCAGGTGTTCCCCCAGCAAGCTGATGTTCAAGCTAGGGTCTTAGAACATCCCCTGCAGGGACATGTTTACATAATGTTATGGTTTGGATCTTAGATGTCCCTCAAAAACCTATGTTTTGAAAGCTTAGTAGCCAGTCTATGGTGTTGCTGGAAAGTGGTGGAACTTTAGGATGTGAGGCCTAGTGGAAAGAAGTTAGGTGACTGGGTGTGTGCACCTGGGGGGCGGGGCATTAGGACCCCAGCCCTTTACTCTTTTTTGCCTCCTGGCTGCCATGAGGTTTCCTCCACTGTGATATTCTGCTATGCCATAGGTCTCAAAACAATGGGGCCAAGTGACTATGGCTAAAACCTCTGGAACCACGAGCCCAAAACAAATCCTCCTTTTAAGTTGTCTTTCTCAAGTATTTTCCCAGTGAGGGAAAGCTGACTAAAACACAGAGAAAAGCTGCAAAATCTATGGGAGGGAGGCAGAATGATAATTGGGTAGAAGTTGTGGGGGATTAGTGTGCAAAGTTATCAGAGGCTTATAGAGATGCTTTAGGATCCCTCAAATTCCAAAATGTATTTATATGTCCATGGTTAAAAACTGAACTAACCTCTAAGTAAAATACAATTTAAAAAATAGTCAAAGTCATGTCCAGTTGCCAAGGATCTCATAATCCAGTTAAGTAGTACACACTGCCTGAAGCTCAGGACAGCATTTCCCTTAGCAGGAGGAATGGTGGATTCTATCTGGCAGATGTTGTCTCGGATGCCTTGGGGGACTCTTGAGAACAAGAAGTTAGGATGAGGGATGCTCCAGAAGTGGGAGGATAAGACTGAAGATTAAGTGGAAGAAAGTCCTTTATGCCAGGAGGCCACTACAGCGGCTATCTGCTCTCCTTCTAGTCAGAGCTCTTCTGTCCACCATCCCCCTGCCCTTAAGGTCCTGTGGCTTCCATGCAGGTGTCATGCCTAGGTGAGAAGGCCATGTGAGCTGAGGGGCCTGCACTGACCACCAAGGTGGGGAAAGCCAGCATAAAAAGGCAGTGAGGTACCAAAGCAAGGGTTGCTGATAGATATCAAGGATAGTTGTAGATGTGTTCAGGCAGCTTTTAAAATAAGTAGCCAATAAGGCCATTAAGAAGACTGAAGTGACCTTATCCTTACAGTGGTACACAGCCTGAGGTCTGCTGCTGTCCTCTGTACAGCCCATGGCCTCTCTGCCCTTTTTCCACATTGGAAGAGATGGTCCTATAAGCCCTCAGCACTAGAGGCATTTAGGGTCCTGGACATGGAAAAGTACAGATCTAGATAGGAACTTCCATGTCCTTATTCCCAGGGCTCTCACTTATGTAAACCAATCCTAGGGGGACAGGTCCACCTTAGTCTAAAAGCTCCCTGACCTTCTATAAACCCCCTGTCCTGAAAGAAGCCATGCAAGATGCCAGCCTAAGTCCTATCCTTACCCATAAAGGATCTAACTTCGAGGGGGTAGGGTTTTGGGGTAGATTAAATCAGCTGTAGGTCTGGGGATCCAGAGGAGTCTGAAGTCTTGGGAGAGAGGCACAGAAAGGTGAAACAGCTGTATCAGTGTGAAATAAGACTGGACAGCCAGCAGCTTCCTCCAACCTGCTTCTGCCACCTCTTCTACTCAGGGAAGAAAGGTTGGGTGTACCTAGGCACTCATGCCCAGACTCGCCTTTTAGCTAGACTCCACTCCAACCATCCAGCCAGAGGACTCTGTTTTTATCAGTGAAAATAAAACATGTTTATTACTGTAAAACTTTATTAATACAGGTCCATAATCCCTTACCTGAAACCTTTGGGTCAGATGTATTTATAATTCCTTGCATATTAGAAAGGATTCTATCTGGCAGATGTTGAATATATTAACATTTCAGTAGAGAATTGCAAAAAGGCACACTAGAAGAAATTAAGGGTATAAATGATCTCACTTCAGTTTGGGTCAGGTTTGATGCCCAAATTAGGAAAAAACCCTTGGCTTTTGGATGTTTTTGCATTTTAGAATTGCAGGTAAAGGATTGGAGACCTGTACTTAACTGCACATTTACAGAACAGCATAGTTGTCGTTGAGACTTGGTGCAGTGGTGAATCACACAGATGGCAGTCAGACTGCCTGGTCTCATTACAGCTCTGCCTATGGCTCACCCTCTCTGGACCTCAGGTTTTTCACCCACAGCACAGGATTATTCTTCCACATATGCATGTTAGGAGGATTAAACAGCTTAATGAAAGTAAAGTGCTTAGAACCTTGCTTGATAATACACATAGAAAACCTTGGTGTCACTGAGACAGACATTTAAGTGCCATTCTTCAATATGATCTAAATTACTAGCTCACTGTTGAGGCCCTGCAGGCCACAGCACAGGCTGGAAAATTTTTTGTAGTATCAAAGTCTTTCACATTCTTGGGCTTTGGTTTCCCAGAGAAGTAGAACACAGAAGTTTCAGAAGTTCTTGTAAGAAGGCTCTGTCATGGGTCCTGTGGATCCGGTAGGCTCCTAGCTAGAGGACAAACATGATGAAGAAGAGGCAGAGGAGGCTCCTCCATGAGTCCATTATCCACTGAAATCCAACAACCCCATAACAGTGAAACACTTATTTGCCCGGGTCCCTGGCTTCCTCTCCATTCCAACCCACCAGCCCCTTGCATATCATATAGCCTATGAGACGATAACTGTTTTTGTTTTCTTGGAACTTGAGATTGAACCCAGGGCCTTGTGCACACTAGGCAAGTGCTCTACCACTGAGCTATATCCTTAGCCCTTCTTAAAAATTATTTTGAGACAGGATCTCACTAAGGTGTACAGTCTGACCTTGAAATTATGATCTTCCTATCTCAGCCTCCTGAGTAGTTGGCATTGCCAGTAGCTGGAATGACAGGTGTGTGCTCTCACACCCAGCTATTGTTGCATAATCAAAGGAGACATGAGGGTTTTGCCCTATTGGAAGGTGAGGCTGAGAGCCTTTCCTGAGTTTCACTCTTAAACATTTCCATATGACACAGCAAAAACAGATATTTCCCTTATTGTAGAAAGTAACATGTGTTCACTGTCAAAACTCAAACCATTCAAAAGGACAGGAAATAAAATAGGACTGTGTGTTGTTTCCCATCCTCCAGCTGCCTGCAAGTAAATAATAGACTCCTGGGCATCTGTCCTTTTGAGTTTTCCACATAAACAAGACACTCTCACCTTGACCACTCTATTTTCTTTACAAAAGGGGGTCATATATACATACAAGAACATATTTCTAAAAATAGGCACATATTCATAAATTTCTTCTCAGTACTAACAGATGGATGCCAAGACATTGTCCATATAATTCCTCCTAACTGTTGTTCCAGTTTTCCCTTAACTGATTGGAGCCTCAGTTTCCAAGTCAGGGAAGTGGGGATAAGAATAATGTAGCCAAATCCACAGGATGCCCATGAGGCTCAAGTGTGAGATATATATATATAGATATAGATAGATAGATAGATAGATAGATAGATATAGATATAGATATATATAGATATATATAGATAGATAGATATAGATATATATAGAGATATATATATATATAGATAGATATAGATATAGATAGATATAGATAGATAGATAGATAACATGAAATCATTCTGCAAATTGTCAAGTGGGAAACAGATCTGAGGAACTGTTATTACTGCCCTTCTATCTGCCCCCAACAGGAAATGTTTAGATTTTTTTGTTTTGTATTATTTTTTTGCAATGCTGGGGGATGGAGCCCATAGTCTTATATAGGCTAGGCAAATGTTCTACAATTAAACTACATCCTGAGCCCTGAAATGATTAGATTTTTTAGAAGGACTTCAGGAATGGAAAAACCATATCAGTTGCAGATATCATGTATAAGGAGGCTGGCAGAAATAAGAAGATAGGATGGACTCTTTGTGGTCAGATCACAGCTATCAGCCAGTTAGTTTAGTGTTTCTCTAGGGGACCCAAAATGCCCCTACAAAATACTTCCTTGATTTTGTAATGGGGAATTTTAATCAGCAGAGAGTCTGAGCAGCTTCTGTCCTTGCTGGGCTTTGGGAGTTAAGATTATCTTCTCCACCTGCAGGGAGGAAGGAGGGAAATGACAGATTGTTTTCTCCGTACCAATGCTTGGAATTGCTGGCTCCTGCCAGGGATGGTCTAAGATAGTGGGAGGGATCAGGGGCTGAGGCCAGGGCTAGAGACAGGAAGTGCCTTTCCCAATGCCTCTACCATCTTTGGTTTTAAGGCATCTTAGCCATGCTTGGGAGTATTAGGGCTTTTTTTCCACATATAACCCACCCAGCCTACAAATAAACTAGAGCTTGCCTGTAAAACTTCTCTCTGGTGTGGGAAAATAGAACACAAAACAGATGATGTGGGTGGTGGGCAGGGGTGGGAGAAGGGAAGCAAAGTGGTCCTGAATTCCCACCTTTGCCCTCTGCCTCTCTTTCTGGGCCCTTTCCAAGATCAGACTAAATGCTCTCATTTTTTCTTATAGGGCTGCATCATCCAGGAGGACCTCTCACACCTTTGTTTCTTCCTCACTTACCTTGAAGACACCTCTTTTTCAGTATCACAATTACAGCTACCAGCCCAACAAAGACCAGGACCGTGACCCCACCAAGTAGTGTGCCATTGCCACTGTCATTGCCAATAGAGGATGAGTCTAAGGAAGACAGAGAAAAGAGTCCAAGACCATGGGGTTGTCTACAGGTGTCCTGGCACCACCCTCTTCCCCATCTTGACTCTTCCTCAAGGTTAGCTCCTCACCCCATGCCACAGTGAGGGTGTGCTTCAGGCCAGGGTGCTGCACGTGGCAGGTATACCAGGCCTCCTTCCCAGCTGGCACCCGAACTGATGTTCATGTCTGATAAGTGCCATCCCCACTGGGGCGTGTCTCCACATGCTCAGTCTCCAGGACCAGCTCCTTCCTACCCAGCCACCAGCTCAGTGAGATGTCTGGTGGGTAGAAGCCCAAGGCCCAGCATCTCAGCATGGTCCCATCCTGGGTGGTGTGCTTTGTCACCTGCACCATGGGAGGCTCTGCAGGAAAAGGAGAGAACAATGCTGGTAAGCACCTCTCTGCTCATTCATTCCTCATGCTTTATCTCCATGGAGATCTTCCAAGTGTGGAGGACAGGAAGAAGGTAGGGATAGGATCTCTCTAGGGGAGGCACTCATGTTGAAACTTTGTAGGCATAGCTAAAGGGACAGTGCCCTGAAAATTTCCAAAGGGGATGTGACTTCCTATTCCTAACCTCTGAGTAGGGTCCTGTGTGGCCATATCCACCACCTTTTTCACTCATAGATCCTAGGATTTTTTTTTCCCCCCAGAGACTTTATATACCTACTCTTTGACTTCCAGCACATAGTAGGTACCTAACAAGTGGTTGTTAAATGAAGGCAAGGATGATAATAATTCCCTCACCTTAAAACTAGGATGTGGAGGAGTTTGAAGCCCTGCATGACCTCTTTCCAGCTTGGTGACCTGAGGGAGGCCTTTTAACTCTTCATTTTTCTCAAAGCTTAATGGGGTATTAATCATTCTTTTTTTTTTTTTCAGAGTTGTTCAAAATAAGATGATCTTGGTAAAGGATGTAGACCATGTCTTGTGCTAAGTGAGAATTTAACAATCATTGTGTAACATACCATAATATGGAGTTTTGGAAAGTGGGCATCATTATTACTATGCTATTCTGAAATATAGCATGTCCTGGCTCATAACTCCCTTCCCAAGACATCTCCACTGGGGCATTTCTCCATGTGCTCAGCCTCCAGGGCCAGCTCTTCTAGCCATGATTGTAATGAGATGTCTCATGGGTAGAAGCCCAAGGTCCAATACCCTAGCATGGTCCCATCCTGGATTGTGTGCTAGAATTTCTTTTCCCCATGTCTGGTTATAGAAACTCTAATCTTTCTCCATCTGTATTGAAGCTGACCATAAAGAAATTCTCTGACCTATCTTTGTCCAATAGATCAGACCATCCTCATTCCAGAAGGGGCCTTCCTCATATCCTGGAGGGAAGAATGCTGTACAGAGAGGCCAGAAAAATGCTGCAGCAGGCAGGCCATAGGGGGTTTCCCCACCCAGTCTATTATCATTAGTGCCTATGTAATGGAGTCCCCATACAAACCCAAAGGACAGGGTTTGGAGGGATTCCACATTGCTGAACACATAGAGATTCCTGGAGAGTGGCAGGCCCAGAGACAGCATGGAAGCTCCACACCTCTTCTCTCTTTCCACATTCTAAACATATCTTTATCTGTATCCTTTGTAACATCCTTTATAATAAACCCATAAACATAAATGTTTCCCTGAGTTCTGTGAACCACCAAAGCAAATTAACGAAACCCAAGGAGTGGGTTGTGAGAATTTATAGCTGGTTGGTCAGTTAGAAGCACAGTAAAACAACATAGGATTTGTGACTGGCATCTAAAATAGGGGTGAGGAAAGTAGACCTGGGGACTGAGCCCTCAATCTGTGATCTGGCACTGTTTCAAAGTAGACAGTATCAGAACTGAATTGGATTAGGGTATGCCTACAGACAGGGTGTTCATTGCTCAAGACAATGCTGTGGGCCAGCAGAGAGCCCAGAATTCCTTACTCTATCACACCTGGAGCAAGGGATCAAGGTTCAGTTTTGTGTGAGGAAACTGTTGGCTAATTGGCCCTCCCTTTGGAGGGAGGGATAAGCTGTGTCCTCTTGGTGAGCTCTTCCAAGAGGACACAGCTTATCCCTTCTTCTCTCCCAGGCTTCTCTGTCAAATGGGACACCTCTTGTGAATGGGAATATATGGCTCACTCTTTGCATGGCTGCTGCTGACTGGGCCTTACCTATCTGAGTGAGGCTCTGGCTTTCCAGCTCCAGATACCTGTGCAGGGAGATGAGGCAGAGGCTTTCCAGGTAGGCCTTGTCGTACTCTGCATAGCAGCGCTCCATCTCCCACCAGCGCTTGGTCCGCACAGCCACTGGCTCTGCTGACACCCAGCTCAGTGTCTCTAGGTCCAGAGACAGGTGGTCCTGTCCATTGAAGCCAAATTGCCAGAAGCTGCTGGACCTGCCATCTTCCTGGATCTCACAGCCAAACATGCGCTGAGCACTGTGTGTACCTGTATATGCAGGCCAAAAGGCCCTTGTTATTGAAGGCCACAAGGCCAGAGTCTAGAGAGCCAGGGAGAAGCCTGCCACCTATGGGCCCTCCAAATGGTGGGGTGGGCATTGGCATTTAAAAAAAAAAAAAAAAGCTACCCAGAGAATTCCCATGAGCAGCTAGGGTTATCCACATATCCGCCACTCTGATTGTGGTAGCCCATCACTGTCCACATTTCCACCTGCTGCACCTTCTCCCAGGCCCTCTGTTTCTGGGTTTCTGTCTCCCAGTATACTGGGTATCCACTAGTGCCATCCACGGGGCCTGAGGCTCAGCCTTCCCTCTGCGACTGTCATACCAGATGAAGGGCTGGTCGTCCACATAGCCCACAGCCAGAAACTTCGGGAGGCCTGGGTATGGCTCTGATAGGGTTAGGTAGTGGTAGTGAAGTGAATGGGTCCCTGTAGAAACACAAAAATGGTCTCAAGTTCACACACACAGCTGGGACCTGTATGAGGTTTGTAACAGGATGGAGTGAAGGGTAGAAACCTATCCAAAAAATATTCTGTCAGCAAGTTTAAAAACTGGGAATTTTAAGGGCAGCTTAGTAGTAGAGTGCTTGACTAGCCAGCATGAGGCCTGCAGTTAAATTCTCAGCAAAGCACATACATATATACTCACACCCCAAAAATGCAAAACTGGAAATTTCAGTTAAAAAAAGAAAGGATGGGGGAATGGAATGGGGAGTTATATTTAGTGGGTATAGAGTTTCAGATTAAGAAGATGAAAATATTCTAGAAATGGATGGTGACGATGGTTATCCAATAATGTGAATGTATTTAATGCCACGTTAACTATATACCTAAAATTTTTGTTATGTATTTGATCACAATAAAAGGCATCCAAATAGCTTAAGCAATCAATCAATTAAACACTTAAAGTTCATGCATTAATGCTCATGGGCTTTACTCCTAGAAAGTTCTCAGCATCTCATTCATGGTCTAGTTATTCAGATCTTACAGTCATCTCTGTAAGTAATGATCATCTCACAATTTAAAAGAATATGGTTTTTAAAATCTTGGTTGTTTGGAACCTTAATTTATTTAAACATTCTCCAGAGAAATTTGATCAAGTCCATCCATCATTCTTTTCTTGAGCCATCTTGCCAAGTTGGTGGTTTATTATTTTTTTAAACAGTGCTGGGGATTAAACCCAGGACATCTCTCATACTAGGCAGGGGCTCCACCAGTGAGCTACAATCCCAGCTCAAGTTGGTGGCATCTTGATCTCCACTCCCTGCTTTCTTCTTCTCCCACAGACATTGCTAGTCCATCTGTTCTGAAATTCAAATGCTGCCTCAAGGTTACTCTGTACCATGTCTCCAGAAGCCTCAATTCAACCATTCAGTGTTTCTAGAGATGAAATCTATTTAGCAGCCAGTCTTGACTCCAGCTATTAAAATAATGCTGTATCTTTTTTAAAAGTCACTGCACTGGGCTGAAGGTGTAGCTCAAGGGTAGAGCATATGCTTAGCAGGCATGAGGGTTCACCCAAAAAAGTAAAAGAAGAAAATTCACATTTTTTCTCAGAAATATCCATGGCTCACTCCCTTACCTAATTAAGCAGAGTTTTTACTTGCATGTCACCTTCTCAGTGAGGGCTTTCTTGCCTACTCCATTGAATATTGAATACTTATCCTCCCATCTCTGCAATATTTTTTCTTCAGAGTACTACAATCCTATCTACAAAATGCACTTTGTTTATCTTGTTAATGGCCAGGCTCTCCCCAGCAATCTCAGCTACTCAAGGACATTATAATCTCTTACTTTTTGTCAAGAACAGCACTGGGCACACAGTCAGTGCCCATGTTTAAACAGTCACATGTGGAAGAAGTCAGACACATCTCCACTGTAGAGGTAGGCTGTTTACTACCTCTTTGTGATGTTCTGGCCACACCAAACTCCATCCAACCCCTTTGAACATACTATTCCTTCTATCCCAAGAACTTTCCTCCCTCTCTTGCCTAAGTCAATTTCTTTTCATCCTTCTCTTTATAGCTCAAGTGTCCTTTTCCTTCAGGAAGCACTCCTTACTGATTCCAGTCTGACAACCTTCAGAGGGGCCTTAACAGTGTCCTGTGCTCTCTTCAAAGATTGTGGCCTCTAAGAGAGTGGGTGTTTGAGTAAACACTAGTCCTTACCTGAGAAGGCTCCTCCTCTGGGCAGTAAAATAAGCATGAACGAATGTGATAATGAAGGAAATGAACCGGGGAACTGCCTATTTCCCTGGTCTCCAATCTTTAGGTGAGGAACAAAGCAGAGTGACTTTGGTTATAAAGTAAAACAGTGTACTTGTAAAACATCTGAAGAGCTTCAGCAATGAAGATGTACTAAGCAACTCAGTGAGACCCTGTCTCTAAATAATACACAAAATAGAGCTGGGGATATGACTCAGTGGTCAAGTGCCCCTGAGTTTATTCCCCACTATCCCCCTCTCAAAAAAGAAAGAAACATCTGAAGAAATCCATCTGTTCAGTAAGCATGCAACCTATCCCATATACTCTTGCTTGAGGTGTGGGGTGGCACCCCATGGAGGTGTGTAGGCCCTCTAGCCTACAGCCACCAAGGAGACCCTGAATAATCTAATGTCCAAAACCTCTCTGTTGAGTCCTCCAAGTTCCTTCTTTGGGATTGGTAATCAGTATGTTTGGGGCATTTGTACCCCTGGGGTAAACCGTGGGTAATACATCTACTGTTTCCTCTTAAGTCATGCTTGGCTCATAGTGAGCACTTATTTTCTGCATTTGTTGAAGTGGGGGGAAAAGAAGGCATAAATGGAAGTGACAAAAATCACAAGTGCTAATTTTTGAATGATAGCTCGTGCCCTTGATAGAATGAAGAACCCCCACTGCTCTGCTTTTTATTCACTATCACAATCTTCACAATGAATTTAAGAGGTTGGTGTGATTGGCTTCATCTTACAGATGAGGTAACTGAGGCTGAGTTGTTATGATTCAGTTTCTCATGACTGCAGCCACTTTGATTCATAATCCATGATTGCTTTTCAGTAACTCTTGGTTTTCCTGAAGGAAGATAGATAGATAGAACCATTAAGAGTCCTATGTAGGGGTTTACAACCAGACTCTGGCTCTAGTGTTAGGGGACAAACAGATGAGGATGGTGGGAAAGTGAGATTAAGATAATAATTCTATAAAATGGAACCACTGTGCTGACCTTCACATACTTTCTTCACCCCACATGCTTTCTTTGCCAAAAAAGCAATTTATCTGCTGCCCTGCCAGCCTACATGGACAGGGTATGTCACAAAACTTCCTGTTATCTGCAAGAAAATGCAGGCAGGAAATAACATTGATAAGAGGAACTCAAAAAGGTACTTTGAAGGGAGAAAGATTTGTGACCCTTTTCACAGACCAGATTCTGGAAGATAAGGATAATTCCTCCTAATCACAAAACCTATAAAAAATGATTAAGAAAAAATCTAATTAGAACTGCTCAGCATGGACCAAGAGAACCTAGCATTGTCATGGCAATAAGTACTTGAAAATCTGTTGTCACCCTGCTGTCAGTCAAAAGTCAAGAGGGGGACATGCGTAGAACTCTGGAAACTTCCCTGGGACCCCCCAAATAAAATTGGAATGCAGGAGACACAAGTTGTCTCTCTCCTCTCTGAGAGGACCCATTTTCTCCCTTGAGAGTGTCCTCTTTCCCTTTCCTATCCCTTCAATAAACTCATTCTTGTTACTCTGAACAACATGTCTGAAAGCTTTTCTGACTTGATTGCAAGAATCTGGGTTTGGGGGGTGGGTCTTCACACTGCCTCAGTTTCCCAGATCGCCCCAGATGTGTAATACAGGGGTGCATATAACTTTTTGATATTATCTTAAGACAAATCAGGTATGTTCCAGCCAAGATAAAGTTACCTTTGTTTTAACCCTTCTTGTCTCCCTTTTCTAACACAAATTGCTAGAATTCAAGTGGTCTTGCTGCCACTGCTTACAAAAAGACAGTACTAGAAAGAGGTGGGGTGGTGCCTGGATTCTCTCCCTAGATCTTGCTGCCTTTTTGTAAGCAGAGAAAAGAAGAAGTACCTCCTCAGAGCTGGAGAAACTTCATGGGGGTCAGAGAGGGGTCATGGTGGAGGGGTAGTTGAGTGAATGGTTGACATCAGCTTGGGTCAGCCTGAATGTGAAATTATAACAGAGCAGTTCATTTTTTTAACAGAATTATTTTCTCAAATTCCCTCAGGAATATGATTTAAAAGGCTATTTCTTCCTCCTTCCCTCCCAACCTACCCCTTCCCCTGATCTCTTCCAGATCTTTTTTTTAAATATATTTTTAGTTGTTATAGACCTTTATTTTTTTCATATGTGGTGCTGAGAATCAAACCCAGTACCTCACACATGCCAGGTAAGTGCGCTACCGCTGAGCCACAGCCACAGCCCTCTTTTTTCAAATCTTTAATAACCTTTCTTTTTTACATATTATTCTAAATTCTATATAGAGCCCTCAGGCTGGGGATATAGCTCAGTTGGTAGAGTGTTTGCCTTTCATGCACAAGGCCCTGGGTTCAATCCCCAGCAAGACACACACACACACACACACACACACACACACACACACACACAAATAGAGCCCTCTGTAATACCCTCTCCTCTTTGGAAAAGGAAATCCAGATGCTGGTCCCAGGAGGTTCCCTTTGGTGTGATGAAGAGGGAACAGAGGCTAAAAGACATGACACTCGTAGAAGTAGGCAACCTCTACCCAGCACAGGGATTTCTTGCCTTTTGTCCCATTGTATCTCCTTTTCTCCCCTCATAAATGCTGTTCCCATTTATTGATTATTGATTTTATTTCTTACACTTTAGGAGTCTTGTTAAGGAAGTCAGGGCCTAATCTGACACAATGAAGATTTGGGCCTACTTTTTCTTCTATTAGGCATAGGGTCTCTAGTCTAATTCCTAGGTCCTTGATCCACTTTGAGTTGAGTTTTGTGCAAGGTGAGAGATGGGGTTTAATTTCATTTTGCTGCATATGGATTTCCATTCTTCCCAGCAGCATTTGTTGAGGAGGTTATCTTTTCTCCAATGTATGTTTTTTGGCTCCTTTGTTTAGTATGAGATAACTGTATTTATGTGGGTTTGTCTCTATGTCTTCTATTCTGTACCATTGGTCTACACGTCTATTTTGGTGCCAATACCATGTCATTTGTTACTATAGCTTTGTAGTATAGTTTAAGTTCTGGTATTGTGATGCCTCCTGTTTCACTCTTCTTGCTAAAGATTGCTTTGGCTATTCTGGGTTTCTTTATTTTTCCAAATGAATTTCATGATTTTTTTTTTTTTTATTTCTGTGAGAAATGACATTGGGGGGCTGGGATCATGGCTCAGTGGCAGAGCACTTGCCTCGCATGTGTGAGGCACTGGGTTTGATCCTCAGCACCACATATAAATAAATAAAAAATAAAGGTATATCAACAATTAAAAATATTTTTTAAAAAAATAAATGACATTGGGATTTTAATTGGAATCTCATTGACTCTGTATAGTGCTTTGGGTAGTATGGCCATTTTGACAATATTGATTCTGACTATTCAAGAGTATGGAAGATCTTTCCATTTTCTAAGGTCTTCTTCAATTTATTTCTTTAGTGTTCTGTAGTTTTCATTGTAGAGGTCTTTCACCTCTTTTGTTAAATTGATTCCGAGTTATTATTTTTTTGAGGCTATTGTGAATGGGGTAGTTTTCCTAATTTCTCTTTCAGAGGATTCATCACTGATGTATAGAAATGCATTTGATTTATGGGTATTG